TAAGACAAGAAAGGCAAAATTTGAACACAGACCATATCTGATGATATTAAGGACTTATTGTTACTAATTATTGTAACTTTTGCTGAGTGGGATGTTAAGTACAGCCTTTGCAGTTCGAGATGTCACTTGATACTGGTGAGATGCCACAATGGCTAGGATTTGCTTCAAAACACTCCAGGGACTAAAAAGCAGTGCAGAGAAGTTGGGATAGGTCATACAGAGCTGGCCAAGCACTGATCATTGTTGAAGCTGGTGATGGGCCCACGAGGGCTAAGGATGCACACCTCTCCACTTTTGTACATGTTTGAAGAAGAGGTTTTATTCAATAGGGGGCAGACAGAAAATCAGGACGGTAACAGAGAGCTAGGGAGGCCGGAAGTGGTGGGCTGCCTGGGCATTTCAACACCAGGACAACAATACACAGTACAATTAAGAATAAGAGAGTAGAAATGGCAGATGCATGGATTGTGCAAAGAAAACTCTCTAGATGTGAACCCCATCCTTTTGAAAAGTCACCACTTCGAGGCTGTGGGATCCCCATCAAACAATAAAATGCCGTGGTGGCTTACCTGCGAGGGATAAAAGTAACAGATGCCAGCTCTGGTCGGGTCGCCTTCGCCCTTCACCTTTGAACCATCATAAAGGAAAAAGTAACTCCACCTGGCGAGAGAAAAGAAGGGAGCCACGTTTCCTTCTATCCTGGGAGCAGGGCGTTTGAAAACACAGCCGGAGAGGGGCGCACTGCACGGGGTTTGAAAGCCTTTTGGTGGCTCCAGAAGAAGGAACCTAGGGGCTGCAAGTAGATAAAACCGTTTCATACATGCAGTTGAGTCAAACTAAAAATATGTCTCTATCCAGCCATCAGACCATCTGCCCAAGAAAAGCAGGGGAACAGCTAAGGAAAGATGGGGCACCCACAAGGACGCCTCTTATCTGAGACACTGAACCTTAACTGTAGAACCGTGTGGTCCGGCAGTGTCTTTTAAGGCCCTGATAACGCAGTAAGTTAGGGATGGCTTGGTCAGCGCCCCCACAACTGCCAGGCACGAGACCTCCGGAAAATGGCCCTCCACCCGGAACTCATGCGTTCATCTGACACGTTTGCTGAGGGCCTGCGGTGTGCGCTGCGTGTGCCAGTCCTGGGGCCGTGGTGAGAAAAGGCAGGCAGGAAGGAAGCCTGCAGCTTCCACACAGGATAGTGAGTCTATAATGGGAAAAATGGGGGCGTGTGAGGGTTCAGAGAGGCACCACACCCCTCCCTGCCTGTCAAATCCTCACCCATCCTTTAACACCATCCCTCATCAAACTTCTGATTTTCTCCCCCCAGAGGAAGCTCTCTTCTCAATTTCCATAACCCTCTGCTCCCTCTGCGGGAGCAGAATAACTATAATTACCTCTTTAAGACCACAAAGCAAACTCCCCAGGCTGGGCCTGGGTTTTAACCTCTCAGTCTCTGAGAGCACACACACGTCAGGCCAGAGCATGTGACCACTCTGGCACCTGCACTCTTCTCCCCGATCCACGCCCTCCCCCTGCCACCCTCCATGGCTCCCACCTTATCTTCCCGATGACAAGTACTAACTTTGTTCCAGCACAGTCCACTTTCTCGAGTCCTAGGACCCAGTGTGTGACTGGCTACAGGGCAAGTTCACATCACAGAGCCTCAAAAATGTTTCATAACCAACACAGAAACCCCACTGCCATGTGGTGAGTGTTTTGTAACATATAGAAATATCAAGCCACTACGTTAGGCACCGAACTAACATAGTGTTACAGATTGACTATACTTCAAACAAACAAACTCAGAAAAAGAGACCAGAGTTGTGCTCACCGGACGACGGAGGTGGGGGAAGGGGGAACTGGATGAAGGCAGTCAAAAGCCACAATCTTCCCCGTTACGAGATAAACAAGTACCAGGGATGTAATGGTCAACATGATTAATATAATTAACACTGCTCCTTGTTATATGTTACAGTGCAAGCTAGGAGAGTAAACCCTGAGTTCTCATCACAAGGAAAACTGTTTTCTTCTTTTATTTTGTATCTGTATGAGATGACAGATGTTCACTAAACTTACTGTGGTCAGCATTTCATGATTCTGTAAGTCACATCATTGTGTTGTACACCCTACGCTTATACAGTGCTGTGTGTCAATTTTATGTCAATAAAGTTGGAAGCTACCTGGCTAGGTAAATGGATAGACGAATGAATGAAGAATGAACCCCACTGCTGGGCCCCTTTCTTTATGTTCTCTGGGTGAAAGCACCCCCACTCTTCCAGGCACACAAAAGAAAACGGGGGTGTCACTCTGACCTGCACACAGAGAATCCGTCACTAAATCCTGCTCGTTCTATTGAAACCATGCCGCTCGCTTTCAGCTGCTCGATTACATCTGCTGAACCAAATTACGACTGGCTTACCCCATGTGGGTGAGGAGGGGACAGACCTGCAGGCAGACGTTGTGTAATACCCTTCAAGAGCCAGCCCCTCAAACCTCTTCCCGTGGAGAAATTCTGCACCAAAACCATTTCTTGTCTCTCAGAAGTGAAGCCTCCGGTGCCCACGGTATTAGCAAGGCCGGCTGCAGGGCCCAGCCCCAGCTCTTTTCCACCATCTCCCAGCAATGCTGGCCTCATCCAGACACCGCAGGCGGCTCCCAAGGTTACAACCCATCAGCTTTGGAGAGGAATGGCCCTTGATTCACTGAGGAAAATGGCATTTCCCCCTCCTTAATAAAATCCAGACAGTCTGGCTGGGGTTTTCCGTTAACCCGAAGCATCCATCTGGCAGCCTGGCAGGAACCACCGCACTGCAGGGCTTGCTACTCACCAGGAGGCTGACTTCGTCTCTGTTGAGTCGGAGGCGGCCATTTACTCTCCGGGGGCCCTCATTCTCTTTATTTGGGTTTTCTTTTCCAGTCTCGCCTCTTTCTCCCCAGCAGTGACAGTTCCTCCGCGTCCCCAATCCAGGGAATCCAGATGTGGGAGGTCGGTGTTTCCAGTCCCAAAGGCTACTTGCTTAGTTTTCATTCAGCACGAAAGTGCTACTTCCCTTCCTTGCAGGCCCTTGGGTCCCCGTGAAGACCTACACGCCTCTCAGGCCTCTGGGAGACCATATAATCAAGTAAGAGAATTTGATCAGAAAAGTCAAATCCACCAATCAGGTTCCGTGAGCATCAGCTCGCTGGCCCTCTGCAGAATGACCCCTTCCAAGAGCCCCTTGCCAGGCAGGCTGGGCCAGGGAAACGCATGCTGAAGGCGGTGCTCTGGAGCGACTTCTAGCTTGTCTGGTTCAGAGCCATTCTGAAGTTTTTTTTAAAAAGTTTTGAAGCTTCCTGTTCAAACATCAGTGCTATGATCCTAAAATAAACACAAAGAATAGATTATTTCAGAGTCTTATGAGTGAGCATGTGACCCGGCCGGGTTAAGCAAATGGTATTCTTCACAAGAGCTTTCCAGAAAGCTGAAAAGCATGTTACAAAATAAAAAAGAGAGGGGCGCAAAACTTCAGCGTTAAGTCCCATGGTTACTTACACAGTGATGTCACACAGAAGATAAAAGTAAGTAACGGGTGTGAAAAAGCTCTGGGTGTCAAGGACTGCTAGCTATACAAATAAGGCGGGCGCTGTAGTAATAATGGAACTCAAATTAAGGAACTGTCACCTTGACAGCCCCGAGGCAGTCTGAACATGCAGCATCCCAGAGCTGGGCAAGTTTCCAAAAGACAAAAAGGGAATTTAACAAGTGGCTTTCAAACTCCCACAAGAGACAACTTGGGGTATTGTGATATTTCAGACTCAGAAGGGATGCTGGCATGACTTCCTCTCATCCTCCCCTCTTGTATTCTCCTTCCAAAACTACCTGACTGTCTCTGGCTTACCTCCCTCCAGAGACAGGCAGTTCACAGTGTTAAATTTGTCCTTCCACCAAGCTAAAATTGGCCTCCCAGTAACCTCCAAACACTGGTCTGGATAACAAGGTCTAATCCTTCCACAAGTCAACCGTTTGGTCACTTCAAAACTGTATTCTCACTGTCACTTTCTTCAAGCTTAATGTCCCCAGAGACATGGTTTCAAATGCCTGCTCACCATCTGTCACCCTGCTGGGAACACAAGAGAGTTTTTTTAAGCTCCTTTGGTAGAGAGAAGTCCCCAGAGAGGACACCACCAAATCTCTGATGGCCTGTAAAACCTCTAACTTTTCTCAGCTCTAGATATCTTGGGCGGGGGCCTCCCCAGGGTCATACTCATGGTATCTATGAAGCCTATTTGGATGCTTGCGGAGGCGGCATCTAAGCCCATGGAACCAAGAACTGCAGCCTGAAACCCCCATCCCTTGTTCCCAGAGGCTTGGGCCCTAGGTCCATTAGCCTATCTCTGAAAGGTCCAGAAGCCGGTAATGGTCTTGGGATAGGGCAGGTGATGGGATGTGGCCAGAGAAAGCTGTGGCCTGGAAAGTCTGAGTAACCACCGGGGGAGTCAAAGACATGGCCGGCAAAGGCCTAGGGGTGGTAGTGATGATGTAGGAAGTGGCCTCAGTGGGTCCACAGAGCAAGAAAAAGGGGCGCTAATGACTGCGATGCGCCAGGAGGAGATCGGTAACGGCCGAGAGCACTGGAAAGTGTCGTCTGGCCTCAGCTCCAGGGGGCTGGGATTGGTGGGCAAAGGCGCGGGGGTCAGTCGCGGCCGGGTCACAGCGCGGTGGGGCCGCCAAAATACGCTCTCGGCCGGGGTCCCGCCCTTTGGTGTCCCCGCACCGCCGGGCGCCGCCCACCCGCTAGAGTAGCCAGGCAACCCGAGGATCGGGGTTCGGGGCTCCGGACCCAGAGGTCCCAGGGACTCCCGCCCGGTACCTACGCGCGCGGCGGAGAGGCCCCATGGTCACGCGCCACCTGCGCCTACCTCCCCCTAAAGTTCCCGCAGAGCTGGCGCGGGCCGATGACGTAGGCCGCGCGCGGCGGTGACGTCAGAGGCCCATGGCGGCGGCGGCGCTGGAAGCCTGGCAGGCGGTGTCTCCGCGGAGAAGGCGCTCAGCGGCGCGGCGTCCGAGGCGGAGGGAGGCGGCGGCGGCGGCGGCGGCCGGGGCCCCGGGAGCCGAGCCCGAGGTGAACGGCGGAGTAGTGCTTCGTCGCATCCGGGAGGCCGGGTGAGTACGGGCTCAGTCCTGGGTCCGAATCTTCACGCTTTGGGGACCCTCCAAGCGATCTGTAAAGTGGGAGTAAATGCATACCCTTTAAGGGGTTATTGTAGGATTAAACGGAGGTAAAGAACTCGTTACAGGCTGGAGCATAGAGACCAATTAATAAAGTTTGTTACCTCTTCTTATTGCAACTGCGGCTGCTTAATTTTGGTCAAGGTACGTAATGTGTGTGAGATGGACATGAAAGTAGTACCTGTATGGGTTTGTTTTGAGGATTCAGTGAATTAGTAAATGTGAACCATTCCCAACAGTGTCGGGCGCGTGGTAAGAGCAGTACCAGTGTTTGGTATTAATATTACGCGAATACTGGTTATTAGTGGTTTTGCTAACACCAGGACAGCAACCTGCACACGTGATTGTCTTCATGATTATCATCATTCGTTAATTGAGGACTGCTGTGTGCCTGGCACTGGCGTAGGAACTCTATACACTTTACCAATAGGTACAATTCAGCTAAGCTGGAATCCTGGTAGGGCGCCCCTTCTTAAAGAGACATAGGTATTGTAGGGAATCAGGCTTCACCCCTGCTTTTGTGACTCCAAACACCTGTGCTTCAGAGCTCTCCATTATTCTGGTTTATCCCCCACTCCCCTCCCTTCCATGCCTTGCCATGTACTTTAGATAGCGCTGAGAAGGAAGCGTTTCTCTTCCCTTCTAGGTTCATTTGATTGGTCTAATAATCAAATTGACACAAGACAGAGTAACAGAAGGGGAAACCGAATTTAATTAGGAATGTATAGGCATCCCATGAAATATGATACCCAAAAAAGTGGCCGAACAGGCAGCTTTTATACCTTTTAGACAGTTATTTGTGACAAAATAAAGGGGCTTGGACTTGGGGTAGCAAATTAGTGAAGTAACTATTTATAAAGCATTCTCATTCTTGAATTACCCATCTCTGGCAATAAGGATGCCTTTTATCCTCCTGGTACAGGGAGGATGTTTTCATATGGGAGATTGATTTCCTGCTTTCAGGGGAACAAAGGAGGGTCAGAGTGTTCTTCTTGAACTGGATATTTTTCAAGTGGCTATAATTCCAAATAATCAATATGCCAAAGTGGCATATTTGGGGGCAGTCTGCCCTGACCCCCATCAGTAACGCTTAGAACAGTGGCTAACGCCCAGGAAGCACTCAATAACTGTTACTAACTTTTGTGAATTAGTATTATTGCCTTTATTTGCAGTCCTTTAAGGGCTCAGTAAATAACAGCTTTTGTTAATGCTTTTCAATCAACAGCTGAAGGACTGTCACAACTGAGAGAAATAGACTAATTTTATACCCCCCGCCCCAAACAAATTAGGACCAAGAGGCAGTGTTAGCCTGAGAAGAAAAGCAGTGATTTTTTCTAGAATCTCAGGTGATGCCAGTGAGAATGAGTGTGCCTAGGGGTTTGGAGAACTCCTAAGGTGCTTTCTGTACATCGTGACATTGTTCTTCCTCCTCAGTTTCTTCAGTGTGCCCCAGGGACTCCCTACTTCTCCCTGTACCCTCTAGTGTGGTGGAGTCCCCACTGCCCTGAGGAGAGAAGAGCCTAGCACTTTACCTGCTGTCCTGTGCACACACTCCCCGGTATACCAAGCACTCCCTGTACATCACAGCCCTCCTTTACCCTCTGCACAGGGCATGAGGGCAGCCTCTTCAACCCCGTCTCTTCTCTGAGCCTCATGAACACTAGCTTCTGGCTTGTCAGGTCAAATCCAGTTCATTTTATATTTTTACAAAAAGTTTCTTGTGCTAAGAGCTTAAGGTCTCAGCAATTTTCAAATACACAATACAGTACTTTTAGCTATAGTCACCATGCTATACATTACATCCCCATGCCTTATTTATTTTCTAACTTAAAGTTTGTACCTTTTGACCCCCTTTATCCGTTTCACCCACCCTCCAGGCCCCGCCCCTAGCAACCACCAGTCTGTTCTCTGTAGCTGTAAGCTTGATGTTTGTTTCTAAGATTCCTCGTTAAGTGAGATAATGGCATTTGTCTTTCTCTCTGCTTTATTTCACTTAGCATAATGCCCTCAAGGTCCATCCATGTTGTCACAAATGGCAAGATTTTAAGATTTTTCTTTTTATGGCTGAATAATACTCCTTTGTGTGTATATACACAATTTCTTGTTTTTTTTTTTATTTGAGTAAAGGTAGATTTATTTAGAGAGATACATACTGCTTAGAGTGTAAGGCAAGAGAAAGGCAAGGAAAGAGGTGTCGGAGTTGGGTGCGCAGGTTAAAGTAAAAGCTACACACTCCATAGACAGAGTGCGGGCCGCCTCTGAAGAGGAGGGAGCACAAAAGGGCAGCCCACAAATTTTTTTTTATGTAAACAAAGTTTTTTCGAGGACGAGCAACTCATTGAGAGGGAAATCCATTTTAAAATTTACATATATGTACTGTTCATTGTTTCTAAGAACAGTTCATGGCTTTAGCTTTTTAAACTTACATAGTTATCAAAGAATTAAAGCCAACCACAAAATAAGAATCAAATGAATGCAATAATCCAGTCATAAAGGACAGCCGAATGTGCTTACACATATTCAAGAAATCAGTCATCTAAGTTATAAATAATTAGTTCATTTGCATCCCTTTTTTTAGATTCCACATACAAGTGACATCATATGGCATTTTTCTTTCTCTTTCTGGCTTACTTCACTTAGAATGATGATCTCCAAGTCCATCCATGTTGCTGCAAATGGCATTATGTTGTCGGTTTTTATGGCTGAGTAGTATTCCATTGTATAAATACACCACATCTTTATCCAGTCATCTGTCGACGGACACTTAGGTTGCTTCCATGTCTTGGCTATTGTAAGTAGTGCTGCTGTGAACATTGGGGTGTTATGTATCCTTTTGAATTAGAGTACCCCCTGGATATATGCCCAGGAGTGGGATTGCTTGATCATATGGTAAGTTTATTTTCAGTCTTTTAAGGAATCTCCATACTGTTTTCCATAATGGCTGCACCAAACTACATCCCCACAAGCCGTGTAGGATGGTTCCCTTTTCTCCACACCCTCTCCAGCATTTATTGTTTGCGGACTTGAGAATGATGGCCGTTCTGACTGGTGTGAGGTGACACCTCATTGTAGTTTTTATTCGTGTTTCTCTGATAATTAGCGATATCGAGCATTTTTTTCATGTGCCTATTGGCCATTTGTATGTCTTCATTGGAGAATTGCTTGTTTAGGTCTTCTGGCCATTTTTGGATTCGGTTGTTTGTTTTTGTTGTTATTAAGTTGTATGAGCTGTGTATATATTCTGGAAATTAACCCCCTGTCAGTTGCATCATTTGCAAGTATTTTCTCCCATTCTGTAAGTTGACGTTCTGTTTTGCTTATGGTTTCCTTTGCTGTGCAAAAGCTTGTAAGTTTAATTAGGTCCCATTTGTTAGTTTTTGCTTTTACTTCTATTGCCTGGGTAGACTGCCTAGGAGAACATTGCTAAGATCTATGTCAGAGAATGTTTTGCCTATGTTTTCTTCTAGGAGGTTTATTGTGTCTTGTCTTATGTTTAAGTCTTTAAGCCGTTTTGAGTTTATGTTTGTGAATGGTGTGAGTTTGAAAACTTCACTGATTTACATGCAGCTGTCTGGTTTTCCCAACACCACTTGCTGAAGAGACTGTCTTTTTCCATTGTATATTCTTGCCTCCTTTGTTGAAGGTTAATTGACCAAAAGTCTGTGGGTTTATTTCTGGGCTCTGTTCTGTTCCATTGATCCTTATGTCTGTTTTTGTGCCAGTACCACACTGTTTTGATTACTGTAGCTCTATAGTATTGTCTGAAGTCTGGGAGGGTTATTCCTCCAGCTT